CAATAACTCCATAATATCTACTGATGTGGATGCTCTTATGATCATATTAAAAGTCGATGGTCCATACTCCATATCAATAGTCAATAAATCAATTAAAAGTCAAATGATAAAAATGGATAAATATCAATAGTTAAAGACCATTTCTGAAATTAAAAAAGTATTTCTTGAGTTCTACTATATACACCTCCAAATCATACTCCTTAAATTTTACTCCCTGATGTGACGACGGACACTAATTGGTTACTTCTTTCATATGGATCCCCATACAAATGTTTACTTCAAAATTTTGTGTATTAGAAATAAAAATTGGGAGTAAAAATAAAAGTACACACAGTATTTCCCTTTTTTTAATAGCATTATTCTTTTGAGGAGAGTTTAGTTGAGCGAATAAAGCAGGAATCGATTCCCATTGGTCCGTAATTTTGTAATTGAGAAGTCAAAGAACGCGTAATAATATCCTTTCGTCCTCAGATCTGAACCACTATATAAATTCCCAACATTTCCTTTCTCATTTTTCCTCCACCTCCTCTCTTTCTCCCTCTTTCTCTCTCTACATTTTTGTCTCTATATTTCTGTGTCGTTTATCTGTTCACGTATACACACGCAAGGAAAGGAAGGGAGTTTTTCTCTTTTCTCCCCTTCTCCGTCTGCAATGGAAGGGGTGCAGGTGGAGGAGCTAACATCCGGCGCCAGCGGCCGGATTATTCCGGTCTTCAAGAACCTCCGGCGCTCCGTTTTCTCCCACGACGCCTTTCGCCGCTTGATCATCTTTGTCCGCTCCATGTTCCTATGGATCGTCCTCCTCCTGTTCCGCTACCGCCTCTCCGCCCCATCTCCGCCGTCCTCCCCTTCCGCGGCGGCCGCCGCTGCCGCGTCCGGGAAACGCCGGAAATTCGCGCTGCAGAGGGACGAGGAGGATACTCTCCGCCGGAGAGCCCTCGCCGAGTCCTTGGAGATGGTGCCCGCGATTGGGGATGGAGAGGGAAGCCTCCGTTGCGAGTGGAGCACGTTTTTGTTCTTTGGGACACGCCGCAACGCCCTGTTTTGCCGCTCGTGGTTCCCGGATTCCGGTGAATTGAGGTATGGCTCTTCCTCTTTCTGTTAATTCCTTCTAAATATGTATACTCAATTTTGCTTCAATTGATTAACTATTCCATGTTTTAAAATTTCTTTTTCTCATCTTTTCCCGTAAAAGCATTTAAAATGTATGGAGCATATGCGTTGAAATGTGTTAATTCTTGTATAATTGAAGTTTAATGATTTTAATTGAGATGTCTATTCTGGAGATTGGAAGATAGCTGGTGTGGTTGATTCCAATCTTCCAATGAGGGGATGAAAGGACTTTAGATTTATGATAATGACATTTACATTTTATGGATGGTTCTCTTTCTCTACCTATTGAAATTGCCGTATTGAAATTGACTTCATAGTTGGTTGAGGGTATCAAAAACTGACAAGGAGTTTGAGACGATTATGATACTTTAAAATTTGGCCATTTCTTTAATGTGTCTTTTTTTTTTTTTTATTGATAATTAATGTGTCTTCTTTTGTACTTTGAAATTGATGTGTGGTTTGATAAAACTGTGGAGTACTAGGATTAGCACCTTTAGTAAGGATCTAGCTGTTCTCTGGTACTGCCAATATTAGATTATGAGATTATCTATAGTATATCTATATATATATATATATATATTATATTTGTCTTTATTGTTTTTGCTGTTATTCTACTTGCTCACTGCTTTTGTCTTTATTTCAGGGGTATTATGATTATCATTCATGGACTCAATGAGCATGGGTAACTTCAGTGCTTCTATTAAGTTCTTTATATCATTCTTTCGGGCGCAATACCCAATTTGGCGTTGCCCCTATCGGATCCATACTCAATATATTGTTTTGTGGTGTCGCCTATAGGGCATTCAATCTGCTGTTCTTTCTCAGTAGTGCCTATCAATTGATGCTAACTTTGATTTGGTTTGAATTGAACTCCACTTCTAATCTTGTGCTTCACTGTTTCTTTTCATTTTTTCAGTGGCCGGTATGCTCATTTTGCTAGGCAACTGAACTCCTTCAACTTTGGCGTCTATGCCGTGGACTGGATTGGTATGAATTTTATCTGTGCCTTCTGTGGTTTTTATGTTGTGTTATCGTATCATCTACCACTCTAGTAACCTAACCGTGTTGTGTGCATTCACTTGACACTATCACTTTTTTTTTTTTTTTTTTTTTTTTTAATTTTTTTACATTTACAATATGATTCAACTTGCACTTTAGTGTATAAGGATGTTTCTTGGATGATATGTTTCTCATTGATGATGCAACTATGTTCGTGCATGCTATTTTCTTGAATATTGATAGTTATTGTTAGGATCAAGCACTTACCACTAGGCCAAAAGCTATAGCTAGTAGCGAAGACGCAACTTTATTTCCTTATAGACCGCCATCACATTTTTGAGAGCTAGGGTGCTAGACTTAGCCCTTTACCGGCCTCCGCCAAAAAAATCCCCTAGCCACATAGTGCTAGACTTGGCCCTTACCAGCTTCCGCCCAACAGTTATTAATAGTTTTGAGGTGGTTTTACGAAGGAAAAAAAAAAAAGAACGATTATTGTTTAGACATTTTGAAATGATGATTGTCATGTTTGATGTAGGATTGCAGGAAAACCGGAAATGTGTGTTCTGTCTTTTATTATTTAGATTGGTTCAGAATCTGTTTAATCGTTTAGAATGATAGTTCATGTTAGCCTATCTTGTGAGCAAATAATAACGCCTATTCTGTGAACAGGGCATGGCGGTAGTGATGGACTGCACGGTTATGTACCTTCATTGGATCATGTTGTTACAGACACAGTAAGTTTTCTCTATCTATTTCTTCTTCTAAGCTCGTTATCAGAACTATCGGGGTCATTCTGACATTCCCTTCTACTAGCCAAAAATTTCATTTCACTTGTGTGGCAGTATGTGTATCTACTGTTTTTACCCTTTCTCGAAATTTTGAAATGAAGTTGATCTTTGTCTTTTCGTCTTCAACAGGCAGCATTCCTGGAAAAGGTCAAGCTTGAAAACCCTGGGATACCATGCTTTCTTTTTGGACATTCAACTGGAGGAGCTGTTGTTCTAAAGGTGAGTTTATCTACTAAAACTACAGTATATTCTCTCTTCGGATTTCGAGGATAATTTTATTGACAATCCTCCGTTTTCATAGGCTTCTTCACTGCCAACCATTGAAAAGATGGTGGAGGGAGTAATTCTGACTTCCCCGGCTCTTCGTGTGAAGCCTGCACATCCTATTGTAGGGGTAAGTCTTCAATTTCGGGAAAAACAGAACGCCTTTTGATTCGTTTCTCCATAGCAAAAAGAACTACTACCTTCATAATTTGGCGTTAATTTTATGTGCAGGCTGTTGCACCATTCTTTTCGTTGGTTGCACCGAGGTACCAGTTCAAGGGCTCCCACAAAAGGGGAATCCCGGTTTCAAGAGATCCAGCAGCGCTCTTGGCCAAGTACTCTGACCCATTGGTTTATACTGGACCCATGAGGATCCGTACGGGCCATGAGATTTTGCGCATCACCTCGTATCTGATGCGCAACCTCAAGTCGGTCACCGTGCCATTTTTCGTCCTTCACGGGACTGCTGATCGAGTCACGGACCCGCTGGCTTCCCAGGACTTGTACAACGAGGCTCCTTCGTTGTTCAAAGACATAAAGCTCTACGATGGTTTCCTGCACGACCTGCTCTTTGAGCCCGAGCACGAAGAAATCGCTCAGGACATAATTAACTGGATGAACAAGAAACTGAAGTTCAAGCATTACTGAAACCCTCTTGTCCCAACAACTCTCGACACGCTTAGGGGTATCTCTTGGCATCATTTATGTTCTCTCAAGCGGGCTAAAGCTCGCTTTTTCCTCGTGTCTATGTTTAGCTGTTTGCAAGGTTTGGCCCTTCATATAAATGGTATGTTCATGTGTCTGTAATATGTTGGAGTGTTGTGTGGTTTATCAGTGGACAAAGCAAAGGAGAATTTGGTCAGTTATATTGCAAGTTTCAACTCACCAAAGTGCAGTCTGCAGCTTCAGATGGAGTCAAAAGAATACGCTGACACTTTTTTTTTTTTTTTTTTTAAATAATGTTTATTGTATATTTATCAAATGTTTATTGTATGAAGGGTTTCTTTATAAAGAAATTTTTGTACAGAAATGTTTGTTTTATTGGAGTTGTGCATATGTCAATATATCATATTTGATTTGAATGAAATATAAGCACATATGGACTGTGAAATAGCGATTTTAGTCATTTAATTATGGATACAAGTATTACTATAGTTGACCGGTTTAAACCAGGAAGGCTAAAAGGTTGTTCTCAGTGAGAGTCAAACTTATACCTCATTAATCTGTCTATAAGTCCATGAATTAAATGACAAATTATTGTGTGGATTACGGTTTAAAGTATTGTGAATATTACGAGTAAAAAGAATGTACATTATGTGTTAGATAATGTATATTACGTGTTAGAATAATGTACATTACGTGTTAGAATAATGAAACATTTGAAGTAATATAATGTATATTATGTTTTAAAGTAATATACATTATGTTTTAGAATAATGTACATTATGTTTTAGAATAATATACATCATCATGAGTTATAAAAATGTATGTCGTTGTAGCTGGACGCGTAAAAAAATAAAAATAAATAAAACGACGTCATTTTTGGACCGTGATTCAAATAGTTGTGTAGATCATAATTCACGCAATAACTATTAAAATTAAATCAAAATAATCTAGCAGATTTAACACTAAACAAATAATCTAGCAGATTTAACACTAAACTATCCATTTTTTGTGCACAAAGAGCTGAACCCAAACTACAATGTTTGTGATGAATCCCACTCTATCGCGGGGAGCAAGCTTATATTATAGTTTTAAAGTGTAAATTACGATTTTGTCCTTACATGACTTGCAATATAAAGATTGAATTTACCAATCAACGGCTAAAAGTGCAACTTTTCAAGAGAACATGGACAGTAGTATTTTTTTTTTTTATTTAATTATTAAGGTGAATACAATTCAAGTGATTAAAAATACATAACCAAATGATCAACTCCGTAAGGGTGTTTGATGACTTATTGAGAGTAAAATTACCATCTTACCACCAACCTTTTTCTAAGCTGCAGACTGCAACTCTTTGTCCATTTTCTCAGCCATGGCTTGAAGGCTAAAACTAACATAACCAGAGAAGCCTTCCCGGGTCATCCCAACAATCGGGTCAGACACGTAGGACCATTCGATCTGACACCCTAACTCATCACCGCCGTCCGATGACGCCGCCGCCGCCGCCGCCGGTGCCAACACCGTCAGCGTCGCCACATACTCCTTCATCCCAACGTTGCTGTCCAGAATCTGGTAGCTCAGGCTCCGGCCGCCGTGGTCCACCTTCACCAGCCTCTCCCGGCACCAGTTCACCTTCGCCTCGCCGCCCTCTTCCGACGCCGGCACGGTGGACCCCACGTACCGCACCGCCCCAACCTCCCCCTTCGCCCCTTCAACCAGATGGCAGGTGTCGATGCCGGGGAGCCATTTGTGGGCGGCGCAGAAGTCTTCCACCAGGGTTTCCCATACTTTCTGCGCTTTTGCGCCTTTTAGCTCCGCCGTGGCTTTTCCTTCCCACTTTGATTCCTCTTGGGCCGCCATTAATGAAGATAGGATTTTCTCAATGCGTATGGAATATATTTGGAATGAAGGCTACGGAGCGATGGAAACCTTTTTATAGGCGCAACATCCTTTATATTACATTTTCATTTTAAACTATTAATTAATTAATTAATATATAAACTATTAATGAATATATATATAATATGTGTAATTAAATTTATCTGGAAAAACATATATAAAATAAATTATGTGCAAACAAAGGTGCACCTTGTCAATAATGGTGTACTGAAGGCTGAAGACTGAAGTGCACATGGCTACTACGTACACAACTGAACAAAGTGCTTTGTTCCTTCCAATATAAAAAAAATCATTAAGTCAATTCCACCTATGTTTCCTAGGTATTATTGTTTAACTTTTCACATATGATATATAACTACTTTTTGCTTACTCACAAAAGACTTAATTTTCTCAAGGGCGAGTTAACTCGGTTAATTCGGCCGAATTAAACGAGTTAACTCAATAGAGTTCGTCGCCAACTCGACTGAGTTAGGCGCTTAAACGGTCGTTTAGGGAAAAAATCGCCATAGTCTATGGACACTTAGATCAATTTTTGAAACAGTGACCAAATCTAGTTTTAAGACTAATAAATAAATTTACATTTGATTTAAGAGAAAATTTGCAGTCACTATTCGAATGTGTGTTTTGAATGAAACCTGCCTTATGCACCCTAACTGATAAAGGAGCACAATGAGTTAAACTAACTTATATTATTCATAGCTGACGAGCTCAACCCAAGAAGACTAATAGACAACTTCCATAGAAATCAAACTTAGAACATTGTGATTATCAAGTCAACTACTTATATAATTGCAAAGTGTTTTTCTCAAGTAATTTTTAAATGAATCTCATAGTAATGGAAATGCCATATGCACGAAATAATAATAACAATAATAATAATAATAATAATAATATTATTATTATTATTTTATTATTATTATTAAAAATGATTAAAATAACAAAATATGTACGCCTCATCTTTTATTATTTTTAATATTAGACATTATTACTCTTCATATTATAAAATTTTTGGCAAATTATTTTGTGAATAGACCCAAATTCAAAAATTCACAATTTATATACTGAATATTCACAATTTACATATTAAATGATCATAATTTTTATATACTAAATGTTTACAATTTTATATACTAAATGTTCACAATTTATATACTGAATGTTCACAATTTACATATTGAATGATCATAATTTTTATATACTAAATATTTACAATTTTATATACTAAATGTTCACAATTTATATATTGAATGTTCACAATTTGAATTGTGAACATTCAATATGTAAATTGTGTATTTTGATCCAGATCCACCTTGCACAGGCATAAGTATTGAAAATATTTCTTTAAAAGAAAATATTGTGCAAGGTTAATGGAGCAAGGGGGCGGCGGCCGCCGAGATAGAGACGGTGGGGGGCTGAGCTCCTCCTAAGTCCTAAGCACGTGGATGAATTATATTGATTCCATTGCTGTCTATTTTGACTTGCTGAAATGAAGTCTTAGCCCTCCATAATGGAATCAGATTTGAAGGCTAATTGTTGGAAGTTGGAACATATATATTTTATTTAGAGTAAATACTCAAAATGGTCCCCCGACTATAGCTAAATTTACAAATTGGTGCTCAATTTTTAATTTTAATCAAGAGTAAATACCTAAAATGGTCCCTCGACTATAGCTAAATTCACAAATTAGTCCCCGACTTTTAATTTCAACCAATTAAGTCCTTAACTTTGTAATTTTAACATAATTTGGTCCTCTGTCTATTTGACCGTTTGTTGACTGTGGTTTTTGAGGATATATATGTAATTTCATGGTCCATCGTTGGTTTTTTAAGGTTCCGGTTGCATTTTCATACCGCACTGTTACATTCGAATCCACTGCCGAAAGCAATCTACCAAATCTGATCGCCTTTCTTCATCCTCCCTTTGGGTTCAATGTAGTAGAGTTCGTACCAGAGCGAAGAAGACAACGTGTTTCCGAACCGGTGCAACGTCATCCTGGAGGCCTCCACGTGCTCCGACGAGAGTTGAAGGTTCTTCTGGAGATCGTCGATCACGATCAACAAACGGTCAAATAGATAGAGCACCAAATCGTGTCAAAATTGCAAAGTTAAGGACTTAATTGGTTAAAATTGAAAGTCGAGGACCAATTTGTGAATTTAGCTATAGTCGAGGGACCCTTTTGGGTATTTACTCTTTAATCAATTAAGTCCTTAACTTTGTAATTTTGACACAATTTGGTCTTCCATCTATTTGACTGTTTGTTGACCGTCGACGATCTCCAGAAGAACCTTCAGCTCTCGTCGGAGCACGTGGAGGCCTCCAGGATGACGTTGCACTGGTTCGGAAACACGTCGTCTTCTTCGCTCTGGTACGAACTCAACTACATTGAATTCAAAGGGAGGATGAAGAAAGGCGACCGGATTTGGTAGATTGCTTTCGGCAGTGGATTCAAATGTAACAGTGCGGTTTGGAAATGCAACCAGAACCTTAAAAAACCGACGATGGACTATGAAATTACATATATATCCTCAAAAATCACAGTCAACAAATGGTCAAATAGACAGAGGACCATATTGTGTTAAAATTACAAAGTTAAGGACTTAATTGGTTGAAATTGAAAGTTGAGAACTAATTTGTGAATTTAGCTATAGTCGAGGGACCATTTTGGGTATTTTACTCTTTTATTTAGGATTTGTTTCAGAACACTTTCGATTAAAACAACCAACCCATGTTTTCCTCTCTACTTTTATTTGTATTTATATTATTTGACAAAAGCATTACCAATTCTCATTATTAATTTTTATAAGAGTTTATTATCGAAATGGTCCCTCGACTATTACGAAAATATCAATTTGATCATCGATAATTTTTCTTGTCTAATTAAATTATTCAATTTTAAAAATATTAATCATTTTGATCATCCGTTAAAATTTCATCCATAAATTGTTAAATTTAAGGACATAAAGATAATTTCATATATCTTATTTATTAAAGTTTTTCTCATTGGCTTTCCACTCCTTAACCGTAAAGCTCCTGAGAATAAACTCTTTAATAAATAAGATAGACTTTGTAACTAGCCACCCAGAAAATCTGTTGATTCTCAGCCTCTATCCAAGCTGCCCCTCATAGTCTATTTTCACGGTGAAGGCTTCGTCGTGTGTAAAGTCGACACGCCTAACTTCCAAGATTTTTATCGCCATATTGCCACTGAAGTATCTGCGGTGGTAATCTCCGTTGAGTACAACCGCGCACCGGAGCACCGGTTGTCGGCGGCCTACGATGATTGTATGGAAGCATTGTATTGGATAAAGAACAACGATGATGAGTGGCTCCCAAAATACGTTGACTTTTCTGGATGTTTTCTGATGGGCACAAGAGCCGGTGGCAACGTAGCTTACCGTGGGTCTAAGCGTATCTTCGAGTTGTACGGAGCTGAAGCCATTAGAGATGAGAGGCGGTGGGGATCCATTGGTTGACTGCCAAGTTGAGGTTTTGGATGCTTTGAGAGACGCAGGCGTGGAAGTGGTGGGCAGGAATAATGATCAACATGATATGTATTAGATGGAGAGCTACAACGGCTACCACTATGCAAATTTCAGCTCACCCCACCCTGGCCCTACCCCCACCCCCGCAACTGAAGAAGGGGAAGAGCAGAAGTGGGTCAACCTCGAGGTGATGGAGCATGAATGACCTGGAGTTTCAGAGGAAGAAGAGGGTGGCCAGCTACAATTTTTAGCCTACAAAGTCTACTCTGTTGAATAAACTCCAGGAGCTTTACGGGGAAAAGACTGAAATGTGACAAACAGGCCTCCCAATTCTGTGAATATGAGGCTTTATTTTTTTTTTGGACAAATATAGGAAAAGTGCGCTTGGGACATGCGTTTTAGCCATGTCCCATGTTTTTTTTTTTATTTCTTATACGTCTCCAAAGACTCAACTCCTACTTGCGTCTTTGATATTGTATACGGCCATCGCATCTACGAAATGTATTTTATGTATAGTATGAGTAAATGGTTTGACGCATGTACGAGATGCGTCTGATGTATAATACATCAAACGCATCTCGTACATGCGTTTTAAACCCCGGTGGGTCGCCGGAGACTGACCACGTTAAGCCGCATATGGGATTTGCGTTCCAAGTGAAATGCCTGATGACAGCTGCGAAGTGACAGCCCCTTTGACTGTCCATTAACAGCCGGTGTGGCGGTCACTGTACAGCTAACACAGGCAATGCCTGGTGACAGCTGCGAAGTGACAGCCCCTTTGACTGTCACTGTTTACGTGACAGCTCATAGGGGATGTCACGTACACAGTGACAGCCCACTTCGGCTGTCATGGACTGACAAACCATTTGGGTTTGTCATTTATCAATTTTTGCCATATTACTAAAGGAGATAAGGATTAAATATTGGGATCAGATGAAAAATACTCATGTTAAGCAGCAAATGCATTACATATGGGGTACACACATGGCAAAGACATAAGGAGTAATACATAAAAATGGACTTCATAATGATTAAGACACAAATTCTTGGGATGTTCATGGCTACGTTCCACATGGTGGTCGTCGTGTATTGCGCGAGGAACGCCGGCGTTGATACTGCAAGACTGATGTTTCTTGTACTTGTGTTGGATCAAACACCTGAGATGTATCTAGGAAATTGTCTTCATCAAACAATTCCTGATCAAACACCGGCTGTTAATGGACAGTCAAAGGGGCTGTCACTTCGCAGCTGTCACCAGGCATTTCACTTGGAACGCAAATCCCACATGCGGCTTAACGTGGTCAGTCTCCGACAACCCACCGGGGTTTAAAACGCATGTACGAGATGCGTTTGATGTATTACATCAGACGCATCTCGTACATGCGTCAAACCGTATACTCATACTATACGTAAAACGCATTTCGACGATGCGATGGCCGTATACAATACCAAAGACGCAAGTAGGAGTTGCATCTTTGGAGACGTATAAAAAATAAAAAATAAAAAATAAAACATGGGACATGGCTAAAACGCATGTCCCAAGCGCACTTTTCCTATATTTGTCCAAAAAAAAAAGCGTCATATTCACGGAATTGGGAGGCCTGTTTGTCACATTTCAGTCTTTTTCCCGGAGCTTTACAGTAAATTGCGGCCGATGAAGAAGAACAGTTTTTTTAAAAAAAAAAATAAATAAATAAATAAATAAGATATATGAAATTACCTTCATGTCCTTAAATTTAACAGCTTATGGATGGAATTTTAACGAGGGACCAAAATGGTTAACATTTTCAAAGTCGAGTGACTTAATTGGGCAAGAAAAATTGTTGAGGACCAAATTGATAATTTCGCAATAGTCGAAGGACCATTTTAGTAATCAACTCTTTTTATAAATTCTACATTACATATTATCTAATTTTCATTTTAAAAAGGGAATATATATTGTAAGTGTAAAATTATTTGTACACGTTAAAACCTTATTGGCTATTTTATTTGGTAGTATTGTTATTAGTTTTAATTAAGGGTTGTTAGTGTTAATCTTCCTTTGGACCACTTGATATCTATCAAAGTAAATTTGAGTGGATGACATGCATTGTCAAATGAAAAGAAAGTCATCAGCAGCGCACAAATGAAGGCTTCAAACAAAACGTGTGGCCTGGAATAAATGAAGGTGTGAGATGCTGACTTCAAGGATCATGGTAATACATATACGCTGCTATAAAAGGAAGCTGTTCGAAATAGGAAGATTGCCAATTTTTAGACTATAATTCTGAGTGCAAACTTTTCCTACAAAGCTTTCTAATTTAATCTGTTATGTTATTCTATTGTTAAGAAGATTTAATCTGGGATACATGATTTGTACGTGGTACTGCTGAAGCGTCTTGTGAAGATTGTTCTGGCATACGTGTTTTAGTCCTGATAAGTATTAGAAAGAGTGATAGTGGTAAAGGCTGGAGGGCATTTGTAATTACCTCTTGTAATACTCCTTTTGGTGAACATCTATAGTGGATTGGGGGCAGCCATGGGTTGCCCCGCAGACGTAGGAGAAGGAACTCCGAACTGCGTAACAATTCTTTTGTGTTTTTACTTTATTTTATGCTTTCTGCTTTCGTTATTTATATTTGTTTAATCAAATTTAATTAATGAAAGTAACTGGAGCTTAACTTAAAAAACAAGTAAAAATACGTTATATCTTGCTTTCAAGACTCACGGTACAATTTCATATATAATGATTTTAGTCTTCTAATTATTGAGAACTGTGTCACTTCTTCTAATTATTAGAGCTTTCATATTTATAGTCCTTTAGTTATTGTGACAAAAGGTGGAATCGTCCACCCCAAGTGCCCCACATCCTAGGTTGATAGTTTGTGGAGGCTAGACTTATGTCCTTTAGTTATTATCTCAACAAGTGGTGGATATTGTCTCTTAATGACAAAATTCTCTCTCTTTCTCTCTTTTTAGGTGACAAGGAAAACCCGCAACCATTATATTATCTGAGCAAAATTATTATAGTTTGGTATCAGAAATAAGTGCAATTTAGACACTTAACAACCACTAACGTGGATGCCCATGAAGTCGCCAAGCTAGTTTCCAATCTCCAATTACCTTATCATTAGTCCCTACTTTCTAAGCTGCAAGGATTTGTGCGTGAGTGAGTTAGCTACTCCTATGTTTGTTGTCTTTGGGGAGTAGTTGGGTTTGGTGATGGTCAAGCCATACTCAACTCTTGTTTGCCAAATGAACATGAACTTGGGAGAATTGTCCTAGTTGAAGGCCGATCTGAATACTTGCTAGGGGTCGACTTCAACTTTTAGGTTCCTACAGTCGACCGCGAACTCGCATTCTCCTCTGGCTCCTTGTGGCCTCATAACACCCCTAGGGAAACCTGAGCTTTTTCTTAGCTAAGCTGATAACCCTGACAAGGAAGAAAGGAGCTCTTTCGTTCAACATTAGGTGAGGTCAAACCTTGTAGTAGGATATATAGTAAGTATACATGTGTACAAGGGGATAGGGAGTTATGGCACGCAATATGCAATAACTAATAACTTGGCACTAGCCTTAAGAAATTAACAAGAAACAAAACAATAACAAACAAGATAGATGGAACACACATATAAACAAGAGAATACACACAAAATAAAAGAAATAGGACTCAAGTTAGTGAGCAAAGTCTATACTAGATGCAAGCTAAGTAAACCTATAGGATTAGGGGAGAACACATAACCGAGGAATTGAGAGAACGGACATAGGAATTCTAGTCTAAAAGTCACTCTCATGATCTTCTAAACAAGAATAGGACTAGAAATTGTCCCACTCTCTTAACATATCAATTCCAAGTCTTTCAAGCACAACAAGCATCTAAACCCTCATATTTTTCCTATTTTCATAGTAGGTTGGAATATTGACCCAACGTGGCTAATAATACTCCAAAAACATGCTAATGAATATGGTCAATCAAACATTAATAATAATCTAGCACAATTTTTTTCAAAATAATGATAATAATAATAATCTAGCACAATTACTTCATAATCTCAAAGAATCCACATTTCTACCCTTTAATTAAGAAATAATGACAAATAAAGCATCTAAATAGATAATACAACCTTGACCCAAACCCCTAATGTAATTACTCACACATATTAAGCATAAATATAGCAAAAGCACAAGTGTTAAACATAAATATTGCAAAGGAATGAGATAAAAGAAAGGTAGAAATTAATTATCTATTGAAAATGGATATGAAATCCTTGAAATCTACGTGTAAATGCTTCAATATATGCTTCCTAAATATTTAGGAACCTAAATCTAAGCCTAATCTATCCTAAAAATATGAAAGTAAATGAAAGATATCGACTAGGGTTTGAATAGGGGCCAGAACCGAGTAGAAATGACTAAAAACAAGCTTAAGTGGTGAACAGGGAGTTGCCACATGGCCTTGGGTTGGAACACGGGCATGTAAGTGCCCATGTGGAAAATAGTAAGAAGGCTACTTTGGAGAGTAGTGGTGCACGAGCCCCTTAATGGGCATGTACCTGCCCATGCATCATTGACAAAACCACTTCCTTGCAATTTTGACCATTTTAGCGTTAGAATTATACTTGACGATCTTCATGAAAGTTGTATCATATCCCTTTTAGTTGGTATTCCAACACTTGATTTGTGCATGTTTACGCTGAAATATGGTTGAAATACTAAGAAGTAGTCATGCTGTGCGAGAATTATAATGCCTTAATCTTTTGCTCCATTTTTGCCTTAGTTTGTCCTTGTGACCAAAACCATTGAAATCACCACTCTTTGGTTTCCTTGAAAGTACTTTATCCATCTCCTTAGTTTCATATTGGCTCACACCCTCTTTTGTCCACTTTGCTTACAAATTTGCTCTTGAATTTGTTCCTTTTTTTTTTTTTTTTTTTTTTTTGGGCCTCTAAAGCTTTCCAACTCCTTACTTATTGTGGATAAGTGTTCCCGAGGATAAAATAACACAAATAAGTCATAATCCACATGAATTTTGGAATGATTCACGAATAAAATGACTTAAATAAGGGAGAAAATATGGATAACAAAACATTTATCACCTCATAATGCTTCTAGAATTGTATATATATTTTTTTTAAAATATGTTTGACGTTACGTGAGATCGGACTTCGGAATACCCTAGGGAAAGCTTAGCTTTTTCTTTGCTAAGGTGATAACCCCAACCAATAAAGAAGCTCTTTCGTTTGTCTTTAGGCGACGATGTTGAACTTCACAACTCCCTTAGGGAAAACTTTTCCATTGGCGTTAGGCGAGGTAAAATCTCGTAACACCCCCTAGAGAAAGCTTTGCAAGACAAGCCCAAGGGAAGCGAAATCCAAGAAGAGTATGCCTAGGATGACCTCGACCAACTCGAGGCCTGACCTCAAGGTTGGCTAAACCGAGGCCCAACCTCTTGGTCGACTTGGTTGAGGTAATACGTGAAGGATATATATGATGTCAATGCTAGCCATTGGGAGCACCCAATTAGCACAAAATGCACCAGATTCACGCGGGTTGTTGCCCAGACGTCGTTGGAGGCCTCTATTATAATTTATAAATGAAATGAGTTTTGTCTAGTTTGGGGTAGGATCTATCTCTTACAAACACTCGGTCATTCTAATAACAAGGCAATTAATATCAAATTACAATATTATTATTTGTCTTCTTTCGAACATTATTGGTCCTTTATCTTACATCAATCTTAATCTTTATCTTGGGTTAATTATTTCGGACCATCCAAACTACTTTTCTCCATGAAATATTATTTGTAAGAAAGAAAAATGTTCAATTAAGACAGTGTATCCACATCCCCATTGGGGCAGGGACAATGAGACCTCTAGATTGTAGTGTTATGTTTGCAATCTTATATTGAATTATTTCACCCTAAATGCCAATGAATATAATCATATGATAATTTAATGGATATATATATATATATATATATATATATATATATATATATATATTATTGCCACAAATTCCATAATATTACAGAAACTATATTAAATGGTTATGGGGTAAAACTATTAATTGATGATTTTTATATTGAGAAATGTAATTATATTTGGAGTAAAATTTATTCAACCGGCCATTTCTCCTTACATAATACATGACAAAATTAAACAATATGAAAAATTTAGAAAAGTAGAATAATATTCTAAGAAATTGCTAAGAAGTCCTCCATCTTCTTAGCCATGCTCTGCAGCCCAAGATCATAAATCTTCACCAGATCCTCCAATCTCCAACCCTCCACCGGATCAACGGTAAATCCCCATTCAATCTCGCAGCCTTCGCCGCCACCGGCTGGAACGATCTTCACCGTCGAAACATAGTTCTTGAACCCTATGCTGCCATCCAACATCTCGTAGCTCAAAGTCCTCGCAGCTGGATCCATGGCTATCAACCTTTCCTTGCTCCAGTTTGTCTTCACCGCCGCGGGGTTCTCTTCAGTCTTGCCGGAAAGGGAGAATCCGGCGCAGTAGCGGATGCAGCCAAGTTGGGCGTTGTTGCCGTGAATCCCATGGCAAGTGGAGAGGCCAGGGAACCATTTTCCTAGGCCAAAGAAGTCTTGGAAGAGTGGCCAAATCTCATCTGCGGTCGCCTTTTGTAGCCTTGCTGAAACCTTGGCTTCCCACTTCTGCTGTTCCATCTTCAATTTTCGCTGTGAAATGTGAAGGGAGTGTGCCTAAAACTTAGTGCTCACACAAAAAAATATATAGGGTGCTAGGGTGGGCACAGGTCAGATTCGGGTTCAATCTGAGGGTAAAATTGTAAATGACAATTTTAAACGGATTTGGGTGTATTTATTTGCGCCAATTCGGGTTTAGATTTTTCATACCAGAAATATGTAGAACTGATTTTTTTTGATAAAATAACTTTTTTAAAATGCATAAAGTTTAATTTAATTTGAACTAAAATTATAAATCAAATTGATAAAATGAAAATTAAATACAATAATACTTTAAAAAAATTAGTATTAAAACTTACAAAATATTACAAATTTATATTGCACATTAACACTTAATTAATTACAATGTCCATTTTACATACATCTATTCAATGACACAAAATCCACAAATGCACAACCATGTGAATTCACATAATAATAAACTAATTAGAAATAGATTAATAAATCATTATCTAATCTAAATTTATGACAATAATCATAATCAAGTAATCAACCATTGTAATACCAAGACAATTAATTTCATATATTATTTGTCTTCTTTCAGATATTACTTGATCCTTTTATCTTACATCATTCTTAATCTTTATCTTGGATTAATTATTTCGGACCAAACTATTTTTCTCCATAAAATATTATTTGTAAAAACAAGAAAAAAAGGAGTTCAATTAAGACATTGTAATCCTCATCCCTATTGAGGCAAGGACAATAGCGACCTCTAGATTGTAGTGTCATGTTTGCGAGTTGTTATATCATGGACCAGGGTTCACCTTGCAAAGTGGACTCTTACTAGTACAGAACTGCAGATCCACCGCTATTATAAAAGACATTTCGCGGCTGTTGTACAACAGTCATGGATGTCATGGACAAGGCTTTTTGCGACCATTGTGGAACAGTCGCGGAATGGTTAGTAATCCGCCACTATTCTTGACTGAGAACGGTTGCGTATTGTATTTTTTTTTTATTCGAAGGTAATCCGCGACCGTTCTACGCTAGTAACGGTCGCAGATTGTTTTTTAATTTTTTTAATCAACAATCCGCGACTTTTCTAGGTTAATTAAGAACCGTCGCAGATGACTTTTTTTTTTTTTTTTTTAAATATTCAATTAATTTTAATTTAAACTCCTAATTTTTTTTTAAATAATTCATGTACCTATACTTTTAACACACAAGACATATTCATCTTTTGTACGATTCCTTAAAACCATGACGTATTAAATAACTCTTCACTTCATCAGAACTACGATATCTTCAAAAATTCTTACAATCGCAACACGGGCACAAAATAAAGTCCTCCGTCTTTTTACTCCTATTTTCTTCAGCATATTGTATAAACTCTTGAACCACTTGCATATATTTGAATGTAGTGTATTTTTCATACATCCAACTCCGATCCATATCTGTGAATTCATAAAATACTACTCTTAAGTACTATAGAGATATGGATACGCAATGATGGATGTAATTATAAACCATATTCAGTGATTTGAATTCAAATCAAATTACCTAATTCGTAATCAAAATACCTAATGTATAATTAAAGTATACCTAACTCATTAACAAATTCAATCTAATTCGCCAAACTAAATATTTCATATTCAATATATATATATATATATATATATATATATATATATATATATATATATATAACTAATCAAATACCTAATTAATTCATCAAAGAACCTAATTTGTAATTAAAGGAATATTGAAGGGAATATACTTGAGAATATAATGCACCCAAGACAAACAATTAGGCCATCGATGAAGGAAAATGAGAGAAAGTTTCCCAAGTTGAATTAAAACAAAGAAAAACTAATTAATTAATTATGCAATTGTTGTAAGAATAATAGACAAAGAAATGAGAGGGAAGGTTCAGATTCTCATTCATCGTTAGTATCCTTATAGAAAGGTATCACCAAAAATAAAGTAATTACAATACATATAAAAGGTAGTAACCTATCAATTACAATTACTACCATATATACAATAATGTCCATAATAATAATATTTATAACACTCCCCCTTGGACATTATTTGACATGATCCTGCCTTGTAAAAATTTGCTAGGAAAACCCTGTGGGAAAAACCTAAACAAAAAAGTATAAATGTATATATTCATGCCTCGTTAAAAACTTCACTAGGAAAACCACGTGGGAAAAACCTAGTTGAAGAAAAGAGTACATGATATTTGTAAGAACATATTTTGTACTGATTGCCTCATTAAAAACCTTAACTTAAGAAAACCCTGTGGGAAAACTTAGTTAAGGGAAAAAGAGTACAACCATAACCTTCAGGGCACAATCGACATAATCTTCAGGATTTTGGGGTTTGTCTACTTAAGCAATTATTTTACAACTTTTCTCCATTTACATTACTATATCATACTCATGTCTCGTTAAAAACCTCACTAGAAAACCCAATGGGAAAAAACTAGTTGAGTAAAAAGAGTGCATGATGTATGTGTATTCTTTTAGATTAGCTGCCTCATTAAAAACCTTAGATTTAAAGAAAAATCCCGTGGGAAAAAACTTAACTAAGGAAAAGAGTACAGCCGTTAGTCATCTAAGACTCAATCTTCAGGATTGATTCATGTAAAATGATACTCCCCCTCAAGATAACAATCTTTAATTCCCATACATTAAATTTCCAAACTGTATAGAGAAATTTTGTAAATAAATATATACAATTGTCAATTGAATAAATATACTCTATAATAATCTCGTGACTCTTCTGGAGTTCACGTGGTATAATATTAATATCATAGTATCTAGTCAAAAGGATTTCATTATATATCCTTTTATTGACCCTCTATGGGCAATGGGGTAAAAATAGTACCAGTTTTGGAACTTGGCATTATTGAGATAAAAAAAATAATAGCCAGTACCCAAGTAGCCATTATATATTTGGTTGTCTAAGTATCCAATCAAAATCATATATTGACTAACTGGTGTATAAAAATTTCTTCAAGGAAAAACTTTATCTTAATACTTAGCTTTCCCAAGCTTTTGTTTCAAAAATGTCTCTCTTTAGATATGGGCTGACATCATCAAACCCTTTATATATTTCATTGATGTTTTCCACCATCAATATTGACTTAGATAATAATAAATAATAAATAAGTTCATTATCAACCCTTTATCGAGCACACAATGGTACATATTATTCCTTCAATGAGGATATTAACTCCATTCGCAACCCTTTAAAGAGTAAATATAATGACACCCTAAATTATCATTTCGAGAATTATAAATCCATCTGAAATTTCTCAAAATAAATATTAACTATTTCAGGTCCTATAAAGACCTTAATATTTTATTGTGCGATTCACATTTTCTCATTTTTAGAACTTAAAATCCTTCGGGGACTTTTGAATTTAATATTAGTCTCATATTTATTATTCTGCCAATGATGTAGCGGAACTTAATGTCATTTATCATGGGAAAATATGTTTGATTAAAATCAATCAAGGGTATCTGCGTGAACCCATAAGGCTACAAACTCGCTTTATATCATATCACCTCATTATTCTTATTTCTCTTTCGTGCACACCCACTTGTAACCTTCGGGGTTAACTCTCAACGGTGTATTGTTATAAAGAGAATTATTAATAATTAGCGAGTCGAGCTATGCCTTAATTGCTCCTTTATACGTTAAATAGTCATGGCACTTCCGGTGCATAACTCTGGATCCAGATTATCATATAATGGAGCAATTTGTACAGACTATTGTGTTGTCGACAACTATAATACTTTCATAAATCTTTCCCATATTTATAATTATTTATGGCAATATTTAAGTTAACCAGATTCTAGACATTTCCCAGAACTTATTCAGATCACATCTGGTTGTCCCGCATCCCTAGTATTATGTTTGTTTGGTGCACCTATAAATTGACTAGGTTTTTCGTCATCTGGACGAGCGTCTCCAAGACATAATTATTCAAGGTATATCAAGAGTGACAATGTTTATTTACTAGATCTAGGTTTTTCGTCATCTGGACGAGCGTCTCCAAGACATAATTATTCAAGGTATATCAAGAGTGACAATGTTTATTTACTAGATCTAGTATAATTATTCTTATACCTTACACCGATAGATCTCCTACACTTCTGGCATATTTGGTTCAAATTGGGGATTTTTTTTTTTTGAATGCTACTAGCTCTATTACATTGTAGTATCTGTTCATATACTTTCTCAACCTACTGAAACACAGAGAGCTAATAACGCCTCCACTGAGGCTCGAACTTACAACCTTCCAAATGGAAGTCCAACCCGGATACCATTAGACCACATAGTCCTGGACCTAATCACTCTTTTATGATCAGTATAATCAATAGATGTATTTGGGCAGATTATTTGCTAATATCGCAAATATATCATCTTCTGAACTTTCAGTTCAGTCTAACTAGTACATGAATTTAAATAATGAAGATATTTTCATTTATGTAATTTCTTGGCATTCTATTAAATTTGAATCTTATCTCCCCCTAATGCCGAGAAACGATCTTCATTAATTAAGTATGCAGTCAGCGTACCTAAGGATATTTATATTAGTATCCTATCATGTGCTCTTGGCATTAATTAATCAAGAGACTAAGGCTTCTTTGGTAGCCTTTTTAGAGGTACGATGTGGTGGTGATATATTGAAATAGACTGCGCACTATAAGTAATAACGCAGATAGGGAAATGTTTATTTTGAAACCATGTACTAGGTATAACAATCCTTGAGGGATTGGTTTGTGATATGCAGTGAGTTAGATTTGGATTTCAAACAAAAGTATATCCCCAAAACAGATAATTCAACAATTTCTCCTTCACACATGCTCTATAAAATACTCATGTGGATAAGAAATTGTAATATCTAACTCATTATGTTTGCCCTCAATGACCCAATTGGTCATGCCATAATTAAAAATTGGATCTCTAAAATGTAAAGATTATCGCAACACAATAAGTTCTCAAATGTATATAAAATTTACCACAAGTGGCATATAAAATCATATAGGGCAAGCATACACATTGAACAAAATGAGTGAAACATTCAACAATCTTTGGGAGATTAAACGCCAAAAGAAGTATATATGTTGAAAAATTATCAAATATTAACAATTTGTTTGCTTCAGGCAAACCAACATGATGTGACTCACTTTTGGCGGTTAAGCACATAACATTTTTGCATAGTAGCATATCATTAAAAATAGAAGTTGCAGACTTCATTCATGAGTCATGAGTCATTAGTCACTCAAAGAACTACTACTGGAGTACAATGTGACTATCATAAATGACATGCAAGATAATGAGTGACAGATAAATTAACGTTCTAAGTTTACCGTCTGGGCAAAACTATATTAAAAAAATTAGGTACTATCCTTTTGCTTAAATACTCAAATTTGAGATTTATTTCAATGTCAAAAGACTCGTGTGAAACAATGCTATAATAAATTAGCGCAGCCAATAAGCTTGAATTTTGGACAAATGACAATTGACTTTTAAATCAATACCAAGTCAATTTTATATTTGGGGAATTTGTCCTAGTGCTATTATTATATAATAATTAGTGCTATGAATTCACCTTCCAGGCAAAACTATAGTCAATTATTCATGCTAGATACCACAAAATTTAGGCTCATATAATCTAATTGACATCACAAGATCAAAGTAAGGTTTATCAACAACAGGTGCAACCTAACAATGAAAAATCATATTGAGAATTCATGTTTTTGTCTCATTTATAAGTTGTGTGATAAATTTCAATAGTTATGGCCTATAGCAAATAATTAGTTGCCAACAAGAGAAATAACAAATTCTCTTATATGAGCCTAATCAAGAGATTATATGCTAAATATTGTCAATTAAAGAGAAGCATATTCAATATGTGATATAGTTGTCCCTTATGTCTTGGACACCAAAACCTCAATTAAATCATGCACATCCATTTTAAATAAAGGGTATCATGTTTGATACACACAAGACATGACATGTCAAGAGATATTCTATTAATTTATATATTAGAATATATTAGAATATAAAATGAGAGAAGTACCGTTCGCCGAAGGGTAACGAGCACATGTTCGTTGCTGGGCCCATTCATTCCTATTTCGGGGAGTCAAAAAAAATATTTTTCCAACTTCCAAGCAAGCTCTCATTTTATCTCATGGTTTCATACAAGCATGAAAATATCACAAAATAGCAAGATATACAAGCTGAAAACAGCAGAAATTTTCAGAATTTTAACCTGGATTGCAGAATTTTCTGAGAAAAACGGTAACACATTTTGACACAAAATTTTGCAGATATGTAGTTCAGCGAGTCTAGAAGTATTTTTCCCAAAATATTTTTCAACATTGCGCCAGACAGAAAAATAACTGGCAGCACACTGTCAGAACTTTACATAATTTTTCTGGAACAATCAAAGCATATTTTTAAGAAAGTCTATTCACAGACATCAAATATCACAAGTCTAGGTTCTCCAGAAAATATTTCATACCAAAATGAGTTCAACAAGTATTTTTCACGGATTTAGTTTTCAAAACACATCAACTTAGATAGATTTCTGCAACCTAATGGGATAAATTTCCAAGAGGCATACGTAGTCTTAGCCATCAAATTAATGTAACATGTGTCTAGGAAGAGAACGTCTACTTCTCCATTTACTTTTGTTTTAACCAATGATATGCATATTCCATGTAACATGAAAAGGCAGGCAGGAAATGGCTTTATGTATGAAAAAAACACATGTACTGCAATCATATATTCACACAAGTTAAAAATCAACGAAGTCAAATATATCATGTGAGCAACTTAGCAACCACAATTAGAAAATTAAAGATTATATTAATTATGCCCAATGTGCTTTGCAACTCATATCGTTGTTGAATATAATTGCCACAATCCTATTTTGATGAATCACCAACTTGCATTGGATCGAAAATATCCAACTTCACAAGTTTATAAATAATAAAGACATATTTCAGTGTTGTAAAAATGCAAAACATGTGAAATCATAATGCGAAAAATTAGAAGTCACATTTTATAGTATAAATCATCGCATATAAGTTACATGAAATATGCAGAGCTTGTGAAATCAGTACTCAAATCAAGTAGAATCACTAGCAAATAACTTTTCAGAATTTATATCCATAACTTTGAAATTTCCAGTGGGTTAAGAGAAGAGTTACCAACCTCACAACCTTCTACTATCACGGAGCAGTCCTAGTACAGCAAGCAGGTGACGGAAATCCACCAGCTTCGGCTGCGGAGGTGAAGACCAACAATTTCGTGACTGGAAACTAGCTCCGTCGCAGTTGTCCTGGCCGATCTTCGCTAACCTTGCCAGTGCCGCTGATCATGACGCTGTGCAGAATCGACACATCGTTCCTGATCACTGCCGTTTCTCCGATGACGATCCCGGTGGCGTGGTCGAGCAATATCCCCCGCCCGATCTCGGCGCCGGGAAGGATGTCAACGGCGAAAACCTCCGACTTATTCTGAACCAAGAGGGTCAGAGTCTTCCGCCCTTGCGACCATAACTGGTGAGCGACCTGCATGGGCCACCCGATTCAATCGATGCCACCCTTCGTTCAGTCAAAGCCTATCGTCCACCACCAGTAAGAGGCAGCCGGATCGCCTCCGACGAAGTCGCGATAGTCGCGATTGCGGAGAACGCATCCGATGGCCGATTTGTCTCCCGAAGGTCGCAAACGAGAGCGGCAGAGGTGGGGAGTCTCGTGAGATGGTCAGAAACACCATCGCCGGGGAGAGAACGACCGGTCTCCGTCGAGGCAGTCGCGATCGGCGCGAACTCCGAGTTCGCAAACCGCGGCCAATCATCACTCCGATGGTCTGGATGAGTAGCTGCTGTGCTGGGGATGATTTCTACCGGTCTGGAATCTTCATCTCCTCCCTTCTCTCTATGCTGGAAGTTGACGGCCAGTGCATCACCATATCGGCCATCGCCGCACAAACGATCCGAATTTCGAGATCACAATGTAGAGCAAAAGTACTGATAACGTGTTGTAAGAATAATAGACAAAGAGATGAGAGGGAAGGTTCAGATTCTCATTCATCGTTAGTATCCTTATACAAAGGTATCACCAAAAATAAAGTAATTACAATACATATAAAAGATAAGAACCTATCAATTACAATTACTACCATATATACAATAATGTCCATAATAATAATATTTATAACAGCAATGAATTAAACTTTCTCTTTATTTTTTTCTCCTCTAGTTAATGCATTAAACTCTACAAGCTAATTATTCACCCCCAGAATTCCACATGCCTTTGTTGTTTTCTTTCCTTTCCTTTTCACCCCTTTCTTTCTCCATTATTTTACTCCATACTTACATTTCGATCGATCCCAAATCCGATCCCTATATATATATATATATATATATATATATATATATATATATATAAAATTAGGTTCTGCTGCGGTTAGGGTGCCCAGGTGCGGTTTAATCTGGGTCATTCATTTCGCTTAAATCAACGTCTGGGATTGCCAAAATTAAAAAAAAAAAAAACGCGGTGGTAATTTTGTAATTTTTGCATCTAGGTCAAAATTAAGGTGAGCGGATCTGTGATTAATGTGCGTGAGTTATGTATATAAGATGCGTGAGGTTTGTGCATAAGGTGTGTGAGTTTTGTGCTTAATGTGCGTGGAGTTGTGCTTAATGTGAGTAGTTGGTAAAACATAAAGTGTGGGCTTTTGTATTTAAAGTGCGTGAGATTTGTTCTTAATGTGAGTGGAGTTTGTGCTTAATGTGCGTAGGGTTTGTGCTTAATGTGTGTGAGGTTAGTGATTAATGTCAGTAGTTGTTGAAACTTAAGGTTTGTGAGTTAATACTTAAAGTGCGTGGGGTTTGTGCTTAATGTGCGTGAGATTGTGCTTAATGTGCGTGAGTTTTGTACTTAATGTGCGTGGGTTTGTGCTTAATGTCAGTAGTTGTTGAAACTTAAAGTCTGTGATTTAATATTTAAAGTGCGTGGGTTTTGTGCTTAATATGCGTGAGGTTGTGCTTAATGTGTGTGAGTTTTATACTTAATGTGCGTGAGTTTGTGCTTAAGATCTAACACTTAAAGTGCGAATAAGTGCCCAGGAGGGAATATGCGAACAAATTAGCGCGCGACACGGGTCCAGATCTAATAGCTTAAAAAAATGCGGTGGCATTTTCGTAAATAAATGAACATCGAAGTGCAAGTAAAATCACTTACAAGTGCACCTACTTTCACCTATAAGTGCATGTAATTTTGCCTTGTTAGCATTCACTTCCCGCAAACATTCATGCACCTGGGTGTGCTTATAACTATAGGTGCAACTATTTATAACTATAGGTGCAACTACTTATAACTATAGGTGCACCTACTTTCACCTATAAGTGTATGTAATTTTGCTTTGTTAACATTCATTGATCTGAGTTCAGCGGGTAGTAGTACCCCTGAAAACCACCCGCAAACATTCATGCACCTAGGTGCAACTACTTATAACTATATGTGCAACTACTTAGAGCTATAGGTGCAACTACTTATACCTATAGGTGCACTTAGTATTGATGCTCAGTGTAAGTTTTTACTTGCACCTATAATACATTTTACATACACTTGTAATATATTTTACTTGCACTTCAATGTTCAATTATTTACGAAAATGCCACTGCGCTTTTTTAAAAAAATCATTGTTTCTCATCCATTAGATCTGGACACGTGGGCGGACAGAATCCATTCCTATTTCACTCCGGGGCGAAGCATTCGCACCTGAGTACGATTATATATATATATATATATATATATATATATATATATATATATATAAGGTTGAGTTCAAATGAGGACAACAATATATAGAGGACTGTGAGGACAAATAATGGGCACACAACAAATTAATACCAGGCACACAACTTAATACATAATGACACACAAGAATAAATGTAAACATCAGGTTTCGAACCTGGCTCTATAAATTAACAAATCTATCACGCGACATACAAACTGTGGCGCACGACTACATTCGGCCATGCACAAGACATACCGGCTAATGGCACACACTACATTTGTCCTCACAGTCCTCTATAATATACTTGTCCTCATTTGAATACGCATATATATATATATATATATATATATATATATATATATATATATATATATATATATATATACTAGTTAAATAATGTCCAATGATTATTTTTAAATAAGTATTTCAAAGTATATCAATGCAATCATGTATTGAATTTGTTTATTTAAATCGGTAATTTAAAGTATATAAATGCAATATTATGTATGAGAGATTGATTTTATTGTTACTAAAATAAATGTTTGCAACTTTGTAATAACGCTAGTCTAAATAGATGGATTCATCGTTCAATGAAATTATACTGTAGGAATCTTTAGATTTGCCTTGCTGTGTATATGATGGGATCTTAGTTGTACTATTAACTCTTTATCTTATAAGCACCTAATGATATTTGGTAGTGGCAGTATTTCCCCTACATGTTTCATGCGTTGTGAGATGTGTGTCGTAGGTTATCTCATGTGAAAGTATTGAACAAAATATTAATATTTATTATATTTGTATAAAATATATACTTGATAAATAAATAAATAAATAAATAAATAAATAAATAAATAAATATATATATATATATATATATATATATATAAAACGTATTTTATATTATAACTTTGATATTTAATTACAAGATAATGTAAAAAGAAGACAGGACAATGTAGTGAATATAATAAATTTATAAATTTGAAGGTAATGAATCTTTGAATTGTATAAAATAAAGATAATATAACTAATGAAATTATATCTCTTTTTAAATTTTTTATAATGAATAATTTGTTTAAATAAAGGTATCATAGACATCTAATTCTAAATTAATTAAATGCATATGTATTACTTTTTGTTATAGCTACTACTTTATTTAATTTAATAAGAGTAATAAAGCGACGTACATAATTTTCATCAACAATAATGAAATCAGTCATCGTCTTTTAATTTAGACAAAATAGACCCTTGACTATCAAATTTGTTCCACTATTGATCCTTCCGTTAACCGTCAGTTAGATAGGCGTTAAGTGTAGGGCTAAAATGGTCATTTCCTCTAGTTGCTTTCTTCTTCTGATGTTGGTGAGTATGTGTAATCCATTCACGTATATGACCAAACCCAAACCCAGCAAAATACGGCCAATGGTCAACATCCTGACATTCTGAGCAAAGCCGTTGAACAGAGCTCGGGCGCAGAAGAGAACACATCCGAACAACATAGACAGTCTCCGACCTAGTTTTCTGGTGACCCAAGAGGCAATCAGGGAAGAAAGCAGAATCGTGGAGTAGAGGGACGAGGTGAACATAGACAAAGTTTTACTGTTAAACTTGCAGTAATGATTCACATCTTTATCAGGTAATGGACACCCTTGCAGAAATTCAAGAACGCCATGATGCAGTAAGAGAGTTTGAATTAGAAACGAAGCTTCTAGACTTACAACAGGTATCATTTGCATGTCTAAAATGCGCAGAGAGGAAGTTGGTGCCTATTGATAATTTTGGTCTTTAGAGCTTTTAGAATGATCACTTTGGTCTTTGGAGCTTTTAGCCTATTGATGAAACTTCTCAATTCTCATTATTGATTATGGTCATACTTTAAGCTCACGGATTATTTGCAATGAATAATCAGGTATAGGTGATTTATTAATTATTGTTTGAAAGAAGCTAAAACATGCAGAGAGCAGATTATACATACATAATCTATAAATGAAATGATAAAATAAGCTTTGCAGGTATTCTTAGAATGGCGGTGTTGGTTGATGTTCAAGAAGACATGCTTAATGGCATAGAATCCTAGGTAATGGCAAGTTGGCAGAGCAGCAAAATAAAAGGTGGGGTTTTGGGGGTTCCATTGAATGCATTCATCATTCATCAATGTCTTCATCAAACCACCGTCAAGAGCCCATTCAGCTGGTGGGAGTGAAGTGAGGAGCGCTCCAGAGCTAAAGGCGAGATGGAATCCGAAGCCGGAGCAAATACGCATTCTTCAAGCTATCTTCAATTCTGGAATGGTTAATCCACCCAGAGAGGAGATTAGAAACATCAGAGCTAAACTCCAAGAGTACGGTCAAATCGGCGACGCCAAAGTCTTCTATTGGTTCCAGAACAGAAAATCAAGAACCAAGGACAAACTCCGCCACGTCCAAACCTCCACCTAATCGCCGCCGCCGCCCCAAAATTTCCAACAACAACAAACCCTTCTGCATAGATCACTGTGTTGTTACCAGAAAAGGTTTCCCAATGCCTGACTAAAAGCAATAGTAGCCTGGAGCCTTCACCCTAGAAACATGGAAAAGTTCCCATCATACAGAGCTTTGTATTTTTATCGGGGGAACCCATAACTCCCACATGTAAAGCAATGAAGAGGCTACAACCTTTCAAGTCTTTCATTCCAAACATTTCTTTCTTTTTTTCCCTCATACCAAGCTAGCCCAAGATCAAGGCACTCAATTCAATGTGAGTGCTATACAAGGACCACATTAAAGAATTTTGC